CTCAAAAATCCCCCCATTGGTCCACCAAAACCCTCTGTCCCGACTAATGCTCGATCCTTCTCCTTGGGCTGTTTCAGCAATCCTTCCCTCCCCGTCGGGTGTATCGATGCCCGTCGGTGCCTGAACGGCTTCAGGTGGATAGGAGTTCAAGTCCTGAGCGGCGGCGACCTCCCGCGGCCACCGTTTACTGGGCCTGTGAGGTGAAAAATACGGAGAGGTTGGAGAGCTTGGAGAGTACAAGATCCTCTGCTAAAGTCTGCTAAAGCAGCTCCTTCCATGCTGTCTCCCAGGTTGGCCTTGAACTCTCAGATCCCAAAGGGCCCATGAGTTGGAGATCCTACAAGGAAAGTCTTTCTTTGCTCCTTTAGGTGTCAGTGAGTCCATATCCCATCATCCCCTGGTCCCCATCTGGTCATCTTTCGGAGAAAGGCTGCATCTTCAGGTCTCGAGTTTCTCCATTCTTTGGGCGACCAGGTCGGTGTGCAAGGTTCGGTGCCCAGATCTCAGGTCCATCTCGGTCCGTCGTCTTCGTAGCTGTTGTCGTCCCAGACATGGTATGGACTATAGTGAATATATAGAGATGCCAGGAGCCCCTAGTAGCGTCCTTGCTCCTAGTAGTAAGGCCAGGAGCCCCTAGTAGCGTCCTTGCTGTGTGGAACTGATGGATCCATAGGATATGAGAAGATGTGTCAATGCTGATCCCAGACACATCTTCACTCGCGGGAATGCTGATCTCCACAGGTTTCAGCCTGCGATCGAAGCCGCTTTCGAGGTTTGGAAAAAAAAAAAAACAAGAATCAAAGTAGCAGCGCTGATTCTTAGATTAATTCCACACTGAATCTCCAAAATAAGTGTTGTATGAACGGCCTCTATTGGCTCAGTAAGTTGGCCCAAGCTGCCCAAACATGTCTATCCTCTCCCCCAGCACCGAACTCTCGCGTTTGGGTCACCCCGGTCACCACGGTCGCTTTGCGTCCAGACTCCCTCTCTTCAGGCGCCGATCTCCAGAGCGGACGCTCCCGACGTCTCAGTCTTGCCCCAACTGACATGACTACTGGTAACAAGAAGCTACTAGGTTGGAGGCCATCGCTATTAGGTTGGAGGCCATGGCTACTAGTAACAAGGGGATTACTAGTAACAAGAAGCATAAACCGCACTCCTTGAAATCATCGTTACGTGGAGTTCACCCCCTGTTGGGTAGTAGGATTTCATGGTCATCCCATGATGTTTTCAGGAAGTGTCTAGATGATATTACCACACGTTCATCCCGTGGCAAGAGCTGTGGAGCTTGCATCTACCTTGCCAAGAGTCTTTTTCCCAACAAAGGTTCTCAAAACTTTGAAGCATCACACAGAAGGAAAGCGGGCGAGTTTGTGCCTGTGACCATGCTCTGTCTTCTCCACTGACAACTCCTCCAGTTGCAAGAGCAAACCCCGAAACTTCGAAGAACAATCCTTCACAGAAATCATGTTCAACCAGTTGAAACCTTGCTCCCAAATTCGAGGCTCAAAGTCAAAGCGGCTCTCTGGTGCCAGGCTTCGAAAGATTCGAAGCTGCGAAACGCACCACACCACACCGCACCGGCTCCCAACCTCGCGAACCCGGCTGCCGCGGCGCCAGGGTTTGCTGTTTTGGAGCCGGGAACGCCTTCGAAAACCACACCGTTGCTGGACAGGGAACACGATTCTCTGTTGCCTGTTGGATGACTGGGACAAGACCAAACTGCCTGGACACCTTACCCATGTTGAGGTGGGTCCCTGAAATGATCATGGAAGTGGATAGCATGGCATGGCCCCCAGAAGACCAAGTTTTCTCTACAAGGAAAGTGGTGAACTCCACTTCCATGATTATCGCTTGGGTGTATCTCATTACCAGTAACGGTGGATGCTGATGGTTAGGAAAGGCATTTCTCAAAATGATGCCCCCTACAGGTCCAGTGTGACCCAGGTCCAAACCTGGTCCCTGAATGACCTCCGGACCTACAGGGTGGTCTTCGACATGACCGACAGCTACGTGGTGTCCGGGAGGCCATTTAGTAACGGCATCCCTCGACCAACACATCCGCTCCCAAGGCCCATCCGGGGAGATGACCGCCCCCACTCCTTGTCGGACCATCTCCCGAACTGAATCGCATTGCCTGGAGGACGCGAAAACGATGAACGCAGGGAGGGAGGTCGAAAAGCATAGACGCATAGAAATCGGAAGATCAAACATATGACACATGCCCCGAGAAGTACCTCAAATATATGTTTCTATTTCGGTCATTTCCAGGCCAAATACAGCTGCTCACCCCTGGTATCATTTCCCCGAGTGCTGAGTATAGTATAATCGATCTTTGCACGCATACCGAGAACAATCCCTGTTAACGCTGATTGTTTGAGCACACCCCTACAGGTCCTGTTTTCATGCCAGTGTGGGACAGCAAGCCCTTCGGTCTGCAGGAGCAATATGGGTCAATATACTCTGTTTGTATATATATATATATATATGTGTATGTATATATATATATATGTCAATATGGGTTCTGAAACCCCACTGGTCTGCAAAGGTTCCCCCCGAAACTGGTCTGAGGCCCCTTGCGGCTTGGTGTTACGCGTCGCTACGCGTCGCTCGCGCGTTGGTTCTTCGAAAATGAGGATGTCACCATTTTCTCAGACTGTCTTGGAGCCCATCGGCACGTTGAACGGAGGTTGCTGACGTCTACTTCCGCAAAAACCTTATGACTTAGGAGCGGCATAAACAACGGCCACTTGTGGTGCGTTGTGTGTGTGTGTGTCACCATGGCGCAGTGGAGGGATGTTGCTTGTTCAGACAGTTGCACAAAACCATTGACGACAGCGTCTTCCAGAAAAGGTGTCTTCCAGGTCAGGAAACTGTGTTGCTCAATTTTGCTGAGGTCGACTGGCTAACGGCTATGTGCGGAACATGCATTGCGTGAACGTACTCAAGTTTTGTCTTCAAGTGTCACGTGTCAGCATGTGAACCCCCGAAATGATGCAGTTGGTGCTCCTCTCAAAGCAGGCAACACTCACCGGTCGCAGTGGGGAGCGCCATCCCCAACGTCCCACGGTCTACGATCTCGTCTGGTGATGCGAAAGAGTCGGCCTGCTTGGCTCCCGAAGCGACCGAATGCCTCGCATGGCGCATGCCCGGTGGCGCTGGCATGCTGGAACAAGCTCCGCTCGGCGAAAAAGGGGCCTTGCACCGACGACACGTTTCCATGGCGAAACGGCAGATGCCATCCAGGTTCATTCGTGCAGCAGGATCTCTCCTTGAAAGAAAGTCACTGACACGGTGACTCTCCACACAAAATACGCACGTGACACACACGCACACACAAACACACCAAGCGAATGCCCTCGTCACTCTCTTCCCACTTCATGCCGCCCGACCAGGATGGACGATGGCGCACAGATGCGTGTTGCTCCTTCACCTGATGTCCCCACGTTCGCTGGCTTCTGCGTGGCGGAGCCCTTCCTTCCTGCTCCGGTCTTCGCCTTTGGCGGTCCCAAAGAGCTGAACATCGCACCGTTCGACGGCGAAGGAACGACCGGAGTTCAGGGGGCGGCAGCGAAGGAACGACCGCAGCAGTAGAAGACGAATGGCTCCACACGGGTGAAACCGGTGAGCCCGTGTGGAGCCAAAGAGCCAAAGACATAGAGAGAGAGAGAGAGGTAGATCATTTAGCGTGTTCTCGAATTTATGTCATTTTACTTTGGTGGTTGATGGTTTCCAAGAACCGGGGCCTGCAGTCCCCTCATTTGGCACATCTATAGCATCATAGATGTAATTAGTCAGGCGGTTCCAAGTTCTATGTTGGAAACGCATTGCCAAAAACAGCGCGCATCGTTTTGCTTGAACCATCTTCAGTCAAACCTTTCTGCTCCGAATTCGGCTCTCACCGGGCGCCTGTTAGCTCCATGGGCGCGAGCCGTAAGGTCAAAAACTCGCTGCTTTGTCAGGAGAGAGCTGCGGCCAAAGACAGGATCCATGCAGCGGGGGAAAACGAAATCACTCCAACCAATCCAACCAATCCCAACTCACAAAAACCAGGTCTTTTGGACGAAAAGAACACTTGGAACGACCGCCCGTTCGTTCTTTCCTCCCACACTTGAAAGAGGAACCGTCAACGGCAACAGCCTTAACATCAACGTCAAATCACCTGTTGCACATCCTGAAAAGCCCTAACTTGGAGTTAGCGATGAACCACGGAGTCTCTTCCCTGGTTTTTGTCCAGTTCGGGTCCAATGGGGGCATGGGAGCCAACAATCTTTGGTGCCTCCATCCGATCTCGGGATCGAATCAACGGCCCGTGGTGGGTGTTCGATCATGACCCCCCAAATTCTACCTTATTCCATCTGATTCCCCTTTCTCTCTTCACACGAAGTTCTCTTCCAAAAGCCCTTCTGGAAAACATACAATGTCTTCAGAAGTGGATTCCGATTGCCATCCTGCCTCCAACTGAACGAGCTCCATGACAAGCACCTTCCGAGCACCCAGACATGACACCTTTTAGGCCATAGTTGGGGTGGTGGTCCAAAAGCGGGGCTTAGAAGAGGCTTTTAGAGGAGACTTTGAGGGTGCTTCCAATCCAGCAGCAGGAGAAGCAAAGCAAAACCTTCACAAGTCCGTGTTCTGACCCCATGCATCTGACTCCTATGAACACATTCACAATGGGTTGATCTGAAGAGACACTTCGCACCACTCAACTGTGCATAGCAACACAAGCCAGCCACGCTGCCGCAGTCCGACACGTCGTTGCATCCAAGACGTGAAGCCATCGACACGGCATGGGCTGGGCTTCTTGGCTGGCTTCTTGGCTTCTAGGTCTGTGGGTCTCTGGCGGATGCCCTTTCTTGGGTTCGAAATCCGTATAGTTATGAATTGTTACTGTGTTTGATTCAACAGAAAGAACAACAAATTTGGAAGAGGGAATCTCTTCCATCTTCGCTTGGCCGTGCATTGAGAACACAGAAGCTCTGTAGTGCCAAGGCCCATCATGCAACTTGAGAAAGTAGTGTGGGCTGACCTTCAGTTGTCGGTGGCCATTGCCACGTAGGCTACAAGCGGCGATTTGCAGCATGCAACACCCTTGTTGGTTCCAAAAATCTCTCTACCTGGAGGCTTGAAAAGGCTGTGATCATGGGGTGTGTGCGCTGGGATCGGTCGGGGGGTGTTCCTCATCCTCTCCCTAGGACCCACCCCCAGATCTAGACCCTAGGGGAGAGGATGTGGCAGCCACATAGGCTTCATGTCAGAGAGGTTGAAGCACATCTCTAGACATTGACCCAATAGAGTCAATAAATGTCAATAAGCCGTCAGTTCTTGAGGGACCTTGTTCCACAAGGCTCCACATATTTCGGGTGCTCTTCTGGTCTTTGGGTGAAAACCGCTCCCAAATCAAGCCTAGTCATGTCAAGCCCTTGCCAGATCCAAAGAGATGTCCGTCGATGGCATCACAACACACGGCTGATGTCGCGTCGATGGACGATGTCCCGCCCTTCAGTTCCGTCAGTCATGTTGACCGGCAGACCTGAGACGACCTGAGACCGACCTGACAAATGGCAATCTTTGTACCAAGATAAAGGCACTGGGAGGCCGAAATGGCCCACCCAAATGGCTGGCCTTTGGCCTGCCCCACCTGCTCATTCGCAAAACATACGAACTCTGTTGCGCAATGGAACTCCTCATCAACTCCAGGGCTGAACATGGGGAGACATCACATCAGCTTGCAGGTGTCGCTCTGCTTCTTCCAGGATCTGTCGCGTGTTTTCCTCCTGCCGGCAGAAACTCGCAGACTCCACTTCGTTGCGTTCACACGTCGAACTGCGCGTCCTCACCTCTTCGTCCCAAAAAACGTGTTCTACGGTCTCACCGGTTGGAGGCCATCGCCAGTAGGTTGGAGGCCATCGAAGGTATGTTGGAGGCCATCGCTACTAGGTCGGAGGCCATTGCTGATTACTAGGTTGGAGGCACTATTAGGTTGGAGGCCATCGCTAGTAGGTTGGAGGGTCCTCACCATCCTGACCTCTTCGTCCAAAACCGTTTTCTCCGTTTTTCTCCACCGGTTTCTCCGTCGCACGGAGCCCCCGCGCGCAGCACGGAGCCCGTCCCGTTGGGCCTGGTGACGCAGCTTCTCTCGGGCCGCATCCCGCAAAGCTTGAGCCTCCTGTAGAGCAGTGAGCGAAAATGGGTGACCTCTCTTTTGGATTCCGCGCCTGCGACCTCTCTTCCCAAAAGGACACGAAGGCGGAACTCTTCGCAAGGCGTCCCGTGACGTTTCTCCGCGGAACTCCGGTTGTTCCGCACGAACTCCGAGCGTCGAGCAGCGTCGAGTCGACCGTCGACGGTCGTAAAAAGGATCGCTTTAAAAACCATGAACAGTTTGACATATACGGCAAATGACATAGGAATTTCCTGATGACCAAAAGATACCAAAAGGCTCTTTCCTGATGACATTGGGTTTATTCCCACCTATCGTTTCACTGGTCCTATCTCACTTTCTTTCAATATAGTAACCCACGGAGCTCCCAGAAGAAGTGGTGCAGATAGAACCCATGGCTGGTATCCCTGCATCAACCGACCTTGCCAAGGCTTTTCAAATTCCTGCACATCCCACGGAATCATCCGCGCGCCAGCATCACCTACCGGTCCTGCTCCCTGTGCTGGTGTTCTTGCACCTCAGAAACATGAAATCCGGAGTCACTAGAAAATGCACCACTTCTTCAAATCATGTAGATCACCTGGTCTCACTTAGATCTTTTTTGTAGAAACTCGGGCCTTTTTTGCCCCATCATGATGTGTAGCAAAAGGAAGGACATCAGGTCGGGGTTCGAAATGTTGAAAAGCCTCAAAGCCTTGAGCCATGGAATGTCTCAAAATCTTACGATGTCTGTGCAGCAATGCCTGCATGCAGGCATCCTTCATTCATCCTGTCAACAACGCCCTCGGTCTTATCTGCACATGGCTGGCTCCTATGTGACTGGGTGCAATTTACGGTCACTGTGGCTTCTCGGGCCTAAAGTCCGTAAATGCACATGGCTGGCTAAGCTGGGTTTTCTATGTGATTGGGTACAATTTACGGTCACTGTGGTTTCTCGGGCCTAAAGTCCGTAAATGCACATGGCTGGCTAAGCTGGGTTTCCTATGTGATTGGGTACAATTTACGGTCACTGTGGCTTCTCGGGCCTAAAGTCCGTAAATGCACATGGGGGCAACTTGCCAGCTCCAGAGAGATTGACAATAAAGAAGGGATTTAATGAAAAGAGTTTATATATTGTGAAACTTCCTCAGCCCAGACAGAGGTTTATATGTTGTGAAACTTCCAAGAAGTCAGAGAATGATTTCACATGCAGTCTACTGTTGCCAAGGCGGTATGATAACCAAACCCATATGTATAATCTGACAGGAGACCATCGAGGGTGGTTTTGGTTATCATACCGCCTAACCTCAAGTGAACTACAGGCTTGAGAGGCCAGAGAGCTGGGCGACCACCGGATGCGTGGTCGATTTCACATGTTTCTAAGGCGGTATGATAACCAAAACCACCCATACAACAAGTTCTCAGCCCTATATGTATAATCTGAGTTCAGCGCTTACAGGGGGCCATCGAGGGTGGTTTTGGTTATCATACCACCTAATCTCAGGTGATTTACAGGCTTGAGAGGCCAGAGAGCTGGGCGACCAACAGTGCCTGGAATTATGAGCTTCCAGTGGACACAGAGAGCAGCAGTGCAGAAAACAGATTTATATATTGTGAAACGTCCCAAAGTCAGAGAATGATGCGGTTCAAGTGAACCGAAAAGGAGAAGACAAAGAAGTACCAGCGACATCATGACATGTGCTTGGTGTATGTTAACACCCTAGTAAATATGTTGCGCCATAGTAAAGGGGTGTTCTTTCACCAGGTGGTCAAATCAACACAGTTGTGTAGACATTAGTGGTACCAGACATTAGTGGTACCAGACATTAGTGGTATTGTAGAAGAGGATTCTGTGCTACGAGGGCCTTTAGAAGAGGAATCTGTGCTACGAGGTAATGATTTGATCGTTCCCATGGGGTGCGCTTGTTGCATGCACACCCTGCGGGCTTGATCAATTAGTGGTACTAGACATTGGTGGTACCAGACATTAGTGGTACCAGACATTAGTGGTACCAGACATTAGTCGTACCAGACATTAATGGTACCAGACAAGGACAAGGACAAGGAAAAACAAAAAGGAAAAGGCAAAGGACAAGGACAAGGAAAAGGAAAAGGAAGGAAAGGCAAAAGGAAAAGGAAAAGGACAAGGACAAGGAAAAGGAAAAGGAAAGGAAAAGGAAAGGAAGAGGAAGAGGGAGAGGAAGAGGAAGAGAAAGGGGCAGAGGAAGAGGAAAAGGAAAAGGAAAAGGAAAGGAAAAGGAAAGGAGGGCCAAAAGTTATGTAGCAGAGCCGCTAGCAGGGACAAAAGTTATGTGGCACCGCTAGCAGGGCCAAAAGTTTTGGCCTGGGGATCCGTTTTGGGGTGAAGGGATCTAGATATACGGTCATATGGGGGGGGGGGGGCGGCGTAATCCATTCGCTCCCAAAACGGAGCCCCAAACCATTGGCAGATCATGATGCTTACAGCACACATGTTAAATTGACGCCGTTACATTATCATGAAGCGTTTACATGGAAAAACGGTGTAAAGAATAAAATGCCTGTAGCGAGGCGACTGTCCTAAAAAGAGGCAGGGGAAGAAGAAGAAGAAGAAGGAAAGAATAGAATGCCTGTAGTCAACAGGTCGCCCCAAAAAAGGGAAAGCGAAAAACAAAAAGAAGACATCAAAGTTAAAGCCAAGAGAAAGAACATCATAGAGAAACATGGACTGATCACGCAAAGCCGTGACGTTACATAAAGATAGTGGTAGGATGATCGTGCTAGCTAGGGAGTGCACTAAAATAAAAAGACTGAGCGTCGCGCTTGCAAATTTTTGGCCGTCATCAAATGGACGGGATCGCAGTGCACGAATTAGGAGCGCTTTGGCTCCGCTTTGTTGATGTGCACCTGGGGGTTGATGTCGATTATCGACAACTTAATCCCCTTTTCATCGCACCACGCCTGCGGTGGAAAGCGAGCATCGAGAGAAGATCGAAACAGAACAAAAACAAAATAACATAATGATTGAAAGTTAGCCTTCGGTCAAAAGTACGCGCGCGTTTCGTCTTCAAAATCCCGTGCCTCCAGCCGCTGAACGCGCCATTCTAAATAACCATCGCCCTCCGTGGAGTACAAGTCATTGCCTCAGGACACGTTGCGTTAACACGAAGCCATTCAAACGAATTTCATTTTGCCGTTTATAGTGCATTATTTTCAGCCAAGCTGCCTGCAACCACGAGGGCGATCCTGTCGCCGCGACGCGGAGCTTTTGACCATAAGTGCCACCAAAACGCGTCGTTGGAGAAGCCTTTCCCCCGCGCCGGGTTGACAGGCAGCCCAAACGACGCTTCAGCTATGGCACCGTCATCGCGATCCTGGACGGAGCGGAGAGTTAAAGACATGAAACGACCTCAAACACTCACGCGAATGGTTAAAGAAATTTCACCCCGCTCCTGAGATAGAGGATCGCGAACTGCCACCAAAAACAAGTCGCTGAGAACCATGTCGGGACTCAACTCCTGGAGAAAACGACGTTTTAACACATGACTTACGCTGCCTGAGTTTTCAACTAACCCCTTTCCAGCCTCCATCAAAGGGGCGAGAGACCCCGCGAGCGCGACGACCCCCTCCGGCTTCAAGTGGTAGCCGTCGATGTGGAACGGCGTACCTGCAACAAGAAATCAGCAAGCAATGCTCACCAGAGAGAAAAATGAGTTTGTACTTCGGCGTTTTCAAAGCGCGTTCACGTCGGTCCTGGGATCTGGGCAATCTCGAGAATCTCCGCTGCCATTTTGCAGCGTGCCCGGGCATGATCCCTGATCACCTGAGACGTTTCGCGCTCACCAGTGCACACGCACAAACGCATCCAAGGTACTATCACATCAAACGCATCCAAGGTACTTGATAAGCCGGCATCGTTCGTGAGGCGGGCGCGATGCTCTGGTGGACTTCGCTAATGCTCGGGATTTAAGGCTGCGTCGATCGCGTGACGCGGTTTCCATTCAGTAGTGATTTCCCTAATCACTGATGTACCTTCACTGGTGTTCACGCGCGAATATCGCGAAGGTCGGCATGTTTCTTTTCCAGGATCGAGTTTCGCGTCGCCGCGGCCTCTAAATCACCCAGCGACCGAGCGGTCAGCAGATTCAGCCGTACATATAGAATGGAATCACCGTCGCAACGGCCATAACAATAACAAATTCCCAGGGCTCATCAGCTGAAAAGTTATCAAACCAGATGAGTTATTTCACGGCGCGGTGTTGGCTTTCCGCTTGTTCCGCTTAGACCGCTTGGGAGGGCCGGTGGGCTCAACTGGCTTCCAGCCTTCAAAAAAAGGATCATCGCGACGGATGGTCGCCACCGAGTGTAGAGATTTTGCATCCGCAAAGACCTGCGCCATAGCGGCAGTTGCAGCTGAATCTAAAACTTTAAGAGCTTCCCGATGTATACGGTAGCCTTCGGGCAATGCACTTTTGCAGAGCTGAGTGAAACCTGCCTTCGTCCAGAACTCCGGCCCGGACGGTTTCTTCATAAACCGTGCATCCATGCAACGACGACGCTTCTGTTTCGAGAGCGTGCCGCGACCCGGCTTCGAGTCCATAATCGAATCGTAGCACTCATTTGCGGCATCGAGTGCCTCACACAGGGGATGCCCCAAAGCGTTTGCCAGAACTGCGTCTGAATCTTTCGGCCCGAGTTGCGCGCTGCGAGCTGCGTATCCAGTTTTCCCTCTTTCGGTTTATATTGCTGAACTGCTGATAGGAAACTTCCTTTCGCCGAGGCACTGTTCGCTGCCATTGGCGTCCTTAGATTTACAAAAGTCTCTCACACAACAGCTGGAAAAGCAACGCCCACCAACAAGAACACGGACCACTAGGCTTCGTCCTCTTAGGCTTCTTGACATGCGAGGTCGATGCCATGTCCTCAGTTCAGCGACCAGGCAGAAACACGCAAAGCGAACTTTGGCTGAACGTCGCCAGGCAGCAAACCACCGAAGTTTTCAGCGTTGGAGCCTCGTTTGAAGCAAGTCGCGCGAGAGAGCCAACTGCGGGACACGAAGAAGTCTGCTTATTCAGTTTCAGCTCACTCATTTCAACAAAACGCTTTAGACCCTCCAAGCGCTAGTGTTTTCAACCCAATCCCTGAACGAGCGAAGGCTCAATCAATCACCAAAGTCATCGGGGTTCTCTCAATCCAAATTCACCCTGATTCCAACCAATTCACCTCAGATTCTTCAGTCAACTGCGTCACCAGAACCGGAGTGGAACCGGAGTATGCAACCTGCTGAGGGTGATCAATTCGCGAGCCAACGCTTTCCTGCAGCGTCTTCTGGATTCGAACTCCAGAACAACGATGCCTTGGAAAGAGAACACCTGGACCTGAGGCTTGGTAGAACCGTTTCAGGCGAGTAAAGTGGGCTCCGTGGGGGGGCCATTCTGCTTTTGGGCCGTCAAGAACCAACTTTTGGGCACCAAATTGAAGTTTCTGGTGTTCCAACATTCGTTGGATCCCTTTGGAAAGCATTAAGAGGGTCCCTTTGGATCAGATACATCTCGACCTGCGACCGGACAACGCACTATCCAAAGATCTTCGCAACCGGCGAAGCGCCAGTACCACGAATCTCACATCCAAGGAATTGCCACCACAATCCAATATTATATTGTACACACAATCTAAACCCCTCAAATATCCTCTCACAAGCTGTTTTTTCGATCTTGGAGCCGTTTTTTGCGGCAGATGACACTTGGAACCAAACACCTTTCGTTCAACCACCTGCCGCACATCCACCCGCCGCCCAATACGCGATTGTGGCACCTGATGAAACTCCTGGTCCCTCTCTGCAAGGGCCTTGCGCAAGCGCTCCTGCAAATGCCTCTGCACCTGTGACAGCAGAACGAGCGGAGCCGCAATCGGTGTGCCACACGGCGCCACCCACCCTTTGGCGACCAGTGCACCGCCGGGGCCCAGTGCACCTCCGAGAAAGCTCTTAATGGTGGTGTGTGGGGAGTCCTTGTGCAGAAATGTTCGAATCAACCCCCAACGAAACCATCCCCTACCCCACGAACGCCCCAAGAACGCCTGCTCCTCATACTGCAAACGTTGCTCTGCGTCTTGCAGGGCATGTCGAAGCTGAAGTCCTTCTGAAGAGACCTGGAGTTCTGGCCCCAGGTTTGCTGCTGGCATCACGGATGCTGGCATCGGATCACGACGACTGATCTCAGCGGATATCATCGGATGACTAGACCCTAGGTGAGTGGATCATGAGCACCTGTACCCCACTGATCTCGTGGATCTGACCGATCCGATGCAACGAGAGATCTAGCTCGCACGAATCAGCTAGTTGCACGTTGGGTCTGGCTGAGACCCTTCCATCAGGCGTGGTTCATAGACAGGAGATCCAGAAAAGAGAAACCTTGTTGCATATATTCTCAATCTCTCAGGCAATGAGATTCGCTTGACCAATGAGCTGAGATATCACTAATCCGTGATGCCACAACGTTGCAAAGGTTTCTAGCTGGGGGCTCACTTCAAAGTAGCTTCCCTAATTCGGCTGAACATCAGCTCTTTAAAGCTGAGCCCTTTCCTGTGGCCGTCTTTAGTCTTTCGCACCTTGCTCCTCAGCTCAGCCAAGCGTTGCTGCTCCTGCTGCAGCTGTGCCTTTTCCTCCTTCAGTCGCTGCTGCTCGACCAGGCTCTGCGCGCGCAGCCTCCGCAGCTCCCCGGTCACGGCGGCCAGCTGCTGCCGTCGGAGGCCCAGGTCCTGTGTTGGACAAAGGTCCGGTGGCCGGTCGACTCCCCAACCGCTGACAAGCCTTGGCTCCGAAACTCCGTCCACCTGGAGTGAGTTGCCTGCGCGGAGGGTTTCTTTATGTTTCTTTTGCGAGATAGGGAATTCAGTGGAGCTCTTCCCTTTGAATTGATTTGGGGAACAACTGACCGTTTAAAAACAAGGAGTGCGCGTCCCAGTGGCTGCATGATGAGTCCTGATGAGAGGTTCACGCCATTTCAAGTCTAAGTTTTGGCTTAGACCAAAGACACTGAATAAACGAACGAAAAGCCTCAAGGAATGACAGTCCCAAAAGTCCGATAGGTAGCACAAGTTTATGAGGGAGCGGCATTCGCCCAAACTGCTTACCTGAAGCGATATGCAAGGCAGTGGTGTTTTCTCAAAGGGCCGCAACCAACTCACCAACTCGAAGGCAAATAATAAACACCCACATCTGTCAGTTCTGTTACAACTGGCATTGGAAGGATGGATTCCGACATATTTTGGAGCTTCCCCTCCGTTCCTGCTGCAGAAAGTGCGGTCCCACCTGACAGGCCATGTGCACATGTGCGCGGTGCTGCGCTGCAGCCGCCTGTGCGTTGTAGGCAGCCTCGTGCGCACAAGACGCAACCAGTTGCGTCTGTGAGAGGTACACTCCCTAAAACGGCCCCAGGCGCCAGGCGTGGATGCCAGTCTGGCCCCGAGTGAGGACCCTGCCCTTTCCGAAGTCCTTTCCGCCGGTGGTTTTCACTCATTCCACGTTGGCCCATGATTCCAGGGAGAGGGGTGGGCTTCAAAAAGGAGTCCCGCAGCCAATCCCTTCCTCCGAATCTCCCAGTTCGTGCTGTGAAACCTTTCTGGAAGGAAACTCGGATGTGTTTTCAAGCTCCACCAGCATGCCACCATCTGAGGGTTTTGGCGACGTGTCCCGAACTCGAGATCCACGACTTGTGTGAAACCCCAAAACTGGTTCTTAATTCGATGATGACCATAGATCGCCATAAGCGATCGCTATAGGCGATCGCCATAGGCGATAGCCGATGGCGATAGCCGATGGCCAAACACAGGTGAGGAAAAACCTTGGACGACACTTCCTCTAGTCACCGAGGGTCCAGAGACGACACCTCATGTCATTCTGCCTCCCATCCTGATCCTTTTGTGAATCTTCTACCATCCCCCACCTTCCCAACAAAGACTGGTAGAGAAGACCATCCCTTCCACATCCCTCCAGTTCTAGTGGTTCTCTGTGGCTATGTTGTTTTCCTTGGAGTGTCGTCCTTCCGCGCCTGCTTCAAGGCCTCCATCTCTCCCTGCAAAGCTTGCTGCTCCTCTTCAGCTTGCCGTCGCAGCTGCCGCAACTGCGCCTGCACGGAGCCGGCCGTCACCGTGCGGAGCTGGCCGAGCACGGAGCCGGCCGTCCGCTGGCCTTCGAGCAGGTCAGACCAGCTGTTTCCTTTGGGGGCTTCGGAAACTCGGTGCGTCTTCGTTTCGCCAAGCGCACGACTCCTAGGGGTTCCGGTGCAAGTCCAAGGGAAGACATTCGCTTTGCTTCCTGCAGTTCTTGATCTTGGGGAGGAGAAGAAACATCATGTCTGTCTATGTCCAGTACTAGAAGGTCCTGCCTCTACGAGTAACGGCTAGGCGGCGAGAAAAGAAACCCAGAGGGTCCAAGCCTTCCGGAAATTTCTAGTGCGCTACAAGTGTGGAAGATCCAAACTCTTTTAAAGGTCCCATGACAAGACCTTTGCCCTTCTTCACCTGTTTCAAGGATGCTCAAAAGGTGGACTTCAGACCATGACAATGCGACTTGCCTGGTACTGTTGTGACTCAGTTATCACTTTACCACATGATCATGCTGGTGAGGTCATTGCGCAAGAACAACACTACTAGCCCCAGTTGCACCGTGGATTTGTCGCGGAAAATCTTCCAGGGTCCTATCGTCGTGCATGGCTCGCGCCTCGTAGGCTGCCGCGAAGCGTTCCGCGATGAGCGGGGGCGTCCGTTCAGCGTGGAGCGAAGATGTCGGCGCCATGGCGGGAGTCTCAAGGAAACGAAGAAAGAGAAGAAAACGTGCCAGCGTTTCAACGTCGGGGTGCTGAATGGAGGAAGTCGGGGTGCCTGTTATCCACTCACTCACAGACCAAAAACCCACCCCTGTGTCACTCCTAGTGTGTGTTTTTGTTATTGTTGTTTACTTCCATATCATTTCTTGCACGCGTAATCGCCTGTTCTTCTTCACTTCCAATTCCCAAACATGGCGGCACACTGTACAATGTGTGAATTGTTCATGAACTCGGTGGGAGCTCTCATGGAATGAGCATCAACCGTGACTTGTGCGTGTTTCTCACATGGAAAAACAAAATGGCACATTGACATTGACTGACACAGGTCTCTGCTGTTGTCAGATCTTGGCCTGAAAATCCTTCCGGAACATCCTGCGAATTGTCAACCACTCACTGGACAAATCCCAATCGAAGAATTCACCATACAGGAGCCAATGGAGCCAATGATTCTGAAGTTCCGAGTTACACCAATGAAGCCAATGAAGAAGACTTGAAGTAGACTCGGGTCAAGGTCAAGGCAGTCTTCTAGTCACCATCCAATACCCAAGTCCGGGCCAATCGCTCGATTCCTCCACCTCCGGGCACCGTGCCAAGGGAGCGGAGCAATCGAAGTGAAGAAAGCCAGTGTAGACCTTGACCTGGCGGAGGTGAGAAGAAAGCCTGGTTGGTGTGTATGACGGTGTGTGTGTGTGTGTACTGTATATATATATATATATACCGTATATATATCTGTCTGTATGTGTGTTTGTGGTGGTGTGTTATTGATTTCTTCTTAGCACTTTTCTGTTGTTGCTGCCCACGTCTCAGGGGCCAAGCCCAGTCGCCAGTCAGGGCCCAGACATGTGAGGCCCTGGGTCCGCGCCGGTGCCCGTCACTCTGAAGCAGGAGGAGGAATCAACACCCTAATCACGCTGAAGCACCCTGATTCATCCACAGTCTCTGGCCGTTGAACCCTGGGTTGATGGTGTTGTCTGGCCGCGCTCGCGAATCCTGTGTCCTCCTCTTGTCACTCCTCGTGGTGCCCTCCTGCTGTTCTCTGGTCCTCTTGTCCTCCTTGTCCACGCATCCGCATCTGTGTGTCAATGCTTGGCCCCGCACTGTGGCCTTGTCCGGGTCTGTGTGTCCTGCTTGGCCGCTTGTCTGGGTCTGTCCTGATTGTCCGCGCTGGCGGCTCTTTTATCACCGGGCCCTGTCCCCTGCTTGGCCACGCGTTCCCTTGCTCAACCACCTTGTCCGGGTATATGTTTGTGTGGCTATGAATGCAACTTTGATATCATCAGATTTTCTCGTGACGTATCCCTCCGTTTTTGCGCGTGTGACCCGGGAATCAGGAACGGTCTTTTTTCAAACACGCTTCAACCTGTTTGTTTACATGCTACTACAGTACGGGAATATACAATAGCTAATCACAAACGTTACCACCAACAATTGACAATTGAATTCAAAGAGTTGAAAATATAATGCTGAAACTGTGTGGGGTCTATGTTGCCATATGTTTTCTCCACTGAATGACCGATGAGCTCCAGTTCGAAGCTGCTAGGGCTGCTAGAGACTGACCTGCCCTCCAACATGCTGTAAAAAGAGCCTGCCGCAATGATGGCGCCCGTGGTCGCGTGCAGGTTCTGACGAAGACCTGCAAGAATGTTCAGGAGACCTGGGGTCTTCGGGATCTTCTTTTTCGCTCCGTTTGACTCGAAGCACTTTTTGTCCCAACAGCGACGTGTCTTCCGGCTCTCATCTGCTCGACCCGAAGAAGAAGCCCCCGTCTGCGAAGCACAAAAACAACAGGCGTCAGACGTCTCACCAGTCAGCTTTCATATAGGTCTCTTCCAGGGGTACCCTGAGCAGGTTAGACGTCTCAACGAAGCTATTTAATTCATTCGAGTTTTGTGTGAGTTCGCTGTCCCGATCAGCGTCCGCCTGTCCCAATCGACATGCATCACATTGGTTGTACCCTGAACGCCATCTCACAGACTTCTGCCCCAGCTGCAGACTTCTGCGCCTGCACGGGGTATCTGGTCGAAGACTGCCAAGGCCATGGCCCACTGCGCAGCTTTGGCACAGGCTTGCAGGGCCGAGCTGAAACCTCAAACCCAAGCCATGCGACCATTTCTGGGAAAACTGGGCGGATGAGAATCAAAAAAGGACGTCTTTTCCCAGGTGGTTTTGCCTTTGCTCTTGCACATGCATTTCTCTGGGCCTGCTGAGAATAAAAAACTACAAGGTTTAAGCCGCTTTGCACAGTAGAACTGGATTTCAGTTTGATGTGTGCCTTGCTTGCGGAGACGCCGCTTGTGCCACTTGCCCGGATTGTCAGTCTTGAAGGGCAAGTTCTAAGATGTTCTAAGTATCGGTTGCCCCGCACCCTGTGGTGGTAGCAACTAGCGTTGGTCCTGGATACTCTACAAAAATCAACGATCGTTCTGATGCTTCTGGAGCATCGTTTTAAGCCGTGGCCAAATGAGGATTGAATAAACTCTGCTGCTTTGACATTGACAAAATACATCAAAATACACCGTCTTTCTGTGCCGGGCATTGAGTGGGTCACCTGAGGACCTGAGATGTTGTAGACTTCATGGTCTGGCGACTTCACGAACACGTGCCGACTGAAGTCGAAGGCAACTGCTTGCGGTGGGGCGCCCAGGAGGACATCCCACCGACGTCCCAACGGCGCCGGTTTTGGGGGTCCCGACGTCCCAACGTCCACCGAAAGAATGGACCGGTCTTGACGAGCAGCCCCGAAGCCAACGGGATGAACGCGAGAGTGAGACGGAGCAAGGACGCTACGAACGGAGCAGAGGGCATAGCTACTGGGAGCAAGGATGCTACTAGGGGCTCCTGCCTTACTACTAGGAGCAAGAAGCTACTAGGAGCAAAGGGTTGCCTGAAGAATCATCACAGGCGGCCCCGGAGAAGAAAGTCGTCCAAGCGACCATTGTCCACTCATAGATGTTGGAGGGCAATGTTGTAGCCCACAAGGCAAACGAGGCCAATGTTGGCAATTACAAGAGTTGGATTGACCGCAGATTCAGCCCCAGAGATTCAACTAAGATGGAATCTTCCACCGCCCCATGTCCTATCCACTACCAGCCACATTGTGTCCTGTCGCATTCTAGAAGGTCTGTGCATGACAGAACCCCACATAACCCCAGTAGCAGGAAAAATGAAAAACATAGATTGAAACTTAATTCCAACTAAGCCTGATCCGACCCTTCCACTCATGATCGTGCAAGATAGCAGTGCAAAGCTGATAGAACAATTGCACCCATCGTGAAATCTCTAAAAGTTAAAAAGAGAGCAATTAGAAACCCCTCACTCAGGTTCAGTTTCAAATCCCTCAGAACATCAATGTTTTGCCTGCCAAGTAGCCCACTACATCTCGCTCTGGAGTCGCCTTCAACAGCTGCAACGCCTCCAGCCAGCGTCCAGCACGTTCGCAGCTGCGGATCACGCTGTTGCACAGGATGACCTGGTGGTTTCTGGGGCTCAGAAGCTTTCGGGCCACATCCCCTGCATCCCCACCTCCATCCGGACGAGCACCACAACTCAACCAACTGTGGACTTGAGACAAGTGGGTGGCACCCACCCAGAACAGTGTTTTTGGGCCGGCCGGCACTTCTGGGCAACGACATACTAAACCTGGTTCTTTCAGGGAACTCCAAGTTTTGATCAAAAGAGATTACTTCCCACTGGAAACCTTACGGGCAGGGCCCGACAAGCTCCCCGGCACTGGCACTGAGTCGCTCCGTCTGGAGGTTGTCCAGCAACGCCAAGGACTTCTCCTGGGCACCGGAGAACGCAGGTCGTTTTTTTAATGCAGGGAACGTTGCTGTCCCGTCTGACTTACATTCAAGACAAAGTACGCTCCGACGGACCTGAATCATGCTGCAAGAGTCCGAAGACCTCTACGGGTCGAGATTGTTAATTATTAGCTACAAAGAACATTCGCACATTTCCGATACAAGTATGCCAAGTTCGACAGGTTTCCAACAGTTGCCAAGGCTCAAAACTCGAATGGCTCGCGAGCGCATGACTGCAGAGTGCGTTACCACTTTACATCAACCTGGTTGACCTGAAACAGCCTGAGCAAGAGTCATGTGTTCTCCAGCAGGTACAAGTCTGCACGTCCACAGACCAGAGTCGAGAAATTTGTTGCTGGGCCACTACAAAAAACACCTAAAGGTGACCTATGGGTCCAAAGTTTTGACACACACTCACACACAAGGGGGGGGCGAAAGATCAAATAGGGCTCCAGCTTACGTGCACATGTCAGCGCGCAAGTGGGACAAAGAGAAGCTATGGCAAGAGGACGCCACAAGACTAAAGTACGTGTTGCCGATGGAAAGGAAACCAGGTGCACAGGGACAACCAATGAGCCAAACCTCCTTATCAAAACCTGTGCCTCTTCTAACTTAGTTTGGAAGTAGAAGTGCACGTGTGCGTTCAGGGCCAGACCGTTGCGCGCGCAAGAAAGAAAATGGAAATGATCAGACATGAAGGCAGAAAAGACATGAAACAAAAGAGAGGAAAAGTGTGTGGAAGGGGAAAAGACGTGAAAGGGAAACAGATGAAAGGATCGAAAACGAATGACGCCCATTTGAATGAACTTAGGTGAACCTCGCTTCGTTTGTGTAGGCGAGTGCTGTATGTGCATCTGAGGTGGGGGCCGGTCCGAACGGACCGAAATCAACCGCGACCGGTCTAGCTGCGCCATGCCAAAATGGCGGGCTGCTCTGGTCCGCTGCGGACTACTCCTGGCATTCAGCCTGCTCAAGCTCTATCACTATCCAAGTCGGCAAGTCTTAACCGACGTTTTAGCCCAAAAGTCCGTAGGACATGAGTAGCACTCAGCGGGCAAAGCTAGCCATTAGGCATACTACTAGAGCGAATATATGGCCACACAGCGGCGCAGGCTTTTGTAGAGATTGAAGTGGGTCTCGCGCCGACCCTAGCGTCCCTCGATGCTTAGTTCATACCTGAAAGCACTTGGGAACATGCTGCTGTTTTCCTCTCTCTCTCTCACACCTG